ACTGATTGTTGATATTTTCAGCTGATGAAGCTTGGTTTATATCTTAAACGGCCATGTGCATAATATCACCATTTGGTTTGTGTCTTGATAACTCAACGTTCTTTCTAATTATTCGCTTTTGATACTTAGCTCAGAAAAGAAAACAAGATGGAGATGCTGGTGAGTGCTTTTGGCCGAGAACCTGGTTATTGATCAATTTTAGAGTGATATGCAATAAATCAAGAATATTAACTTTGATCACTCTATCTCCTTTATCAGAGTCACCCTCTAAAAAAGCTCGTCCAAGTATAAGTAGCAGAGGTACTCTTAGGGATGCGATTACAGAAGCGGGGCTTGTAACGAAAGGGATAGTGAATGGTAGGCCTGTCCTCTCGCCTCTCAACTCGAAAGAGAGGGTCAAGGTGCTTTCGTACATGGGGGAGGAGTTATCAGGAGATAGTATTTACTACAGCATTGTTAGCGTGGCTTGCGAGCTCCGAAATTCTGGTGGTATCAAGGGTTCCAAAATATTGACTGCCCCTGAGGGTCGTGTCTTCCCTATTGCTAAAACAAGGCATCTTTATATCAGAGAAGAATATGAAAAGCTTTATGACCATATTACATCCAGGTTAAGTACCCCTCATGAAACTGGTTTGAACCGACTCTTTGTCACTGGAACACCTGGAATTGGGAAGTCAGCCTTTTTGGTCTATTTTGCCATCCGCCTCCTTGCCGAACACGATGAGGAAAATCCACCGATTATTATTTTCCAAGATAAGCAGCATGACAGATGTTATGTTTATGGAGGAACAACTTGCCAACGTAAAGGGAATACAACGATGTTCGAAGATTTCCTTGCTCGACCTGAAACGTGGTACTTAGTTGATAGTAGTGAGAACCCTCTACCAGATCAAGCCAGGACGATATTTGCGGCATCACCAAAAACTCTCAATGAGCAGTACGGTGAATTCGCCAAGGAAACTGCACGCTTTAGCTACTATCACATGTCACTCTGGAGTTTGGACGAGCTTAAAGAATGTAGAGCCAATGTAGAGTATTATCATCTAGTGGATGAAGAATTTTTGGAGGAGCTTTTTTACAAGTTGGGGGGAGTACCAAGACAGGTCCTACAGGCCCCAGCCTTTTCACTATCCATGGATCAAGAAAATATTAAGGAAGCTAGAAAAAGTGCGTTTTCCCGCGTCAAGGCGGCCATTGACACACTCGAGAAGCCAGCAGATCTTGTAAGCCTCTTTGCACAAGGAAAAGATGCGAGTGCATTTAGTGGTCGTTTACTCCATAGAGTCCCCACTTCTGACCATCTCGACTTCTACCTGGTGTGGGCATCTCGTTGGGTCGAATCACAGATTATGGACAAAATAAAAGATAACACTTGGGTCGATGTATTGGCGAAACTTGTCAAAGGCGGAGAGGATATAGCTAAAGGCCCGGTGTTTGAAATCTATGCTCATCACTTATTTCGACGTGGTGATATTAGATTTCCCTTTAGGGATCTCCAGTCAGGCGAAACAGGATTTCTTGATTTTCCAGCAAATCCAGAAGTGGTGTTTTTCCGGACTCCAGAGGAATTATCAGGGCTCACTCAAGCAGCTGACAAGTTGTTTGTACCAGCACATTCTAAATTTCCGTGCATTGATTTTGCATTGGGACCCAACAAGCTATTTCAAGTCACAGTAGCAGGGAAGCATTCAATCAAGCAAGCACCATTCAAGGAGATAATTGATTGTATTACTGGACCCTGCTTGAAGGGAGACCAATCAAAGTTGAAGGGAGACCAATCAAAGTCGAAGGGAAGTGACGATACCATTTTCCTCTATTTTGCGGTGCCAGGAAACGTATATGACGATTTTAAAGTTCAGAAGTTTCGTACCCTCGAAGGTTGGATTGCCGAGAAAACACCTGAATGCGTAAAAGATGTGAGACAGCGTGTTATAAAAATCGACACCGAAGCTGCATATTCAGGAGGATCAGCCGGTACGAATCTGAAGAATTAAATCGAATACCAATCAAGTGGATGAAATTTTGTCTTTTTTAAAAAAAGCATTATACCCGTTCCTTGAGAATTTTTTTACAATGGCTCATTCTTTATGAATGAAGCCATCATCATCCACTTACCTTTTAGACGAATAGATAGAGCGGTTTAATCCGTCCTGCCTTCTACTGGGGCATATAGAACTTTATAAAGCTTCCTGTGATCATCATGCGATCTTGTGTGCAAGAAAGGGCAGATTTTTGTGATACTATTATCAAAGAGTTTTGTAAAAACGGATAGAGATGAAGAATCCTGTGGAGAACCCAGTGAGAGTCTGATGATGAGACCCAAAACCATATTATTATCACCAGGACAGCTGGCATAGGAAATTATCCTTTCTCATATGCTTTGTCATCTGGATGCTTGCCACTTGCGGAAGGCCTATCAATTATCATCATCCAGGGCGCCAGAACGTTTAACCAGGAGCTAGGATGACAGCTCCGCTCTAAAGACATAAATGTCGTTTTAGCCCCATGGTGCGTGCACGGGATGGCAACCTGTGATCAATGAGATCATATTTGTTGTATGTTCGGCCAATTCAGTGTCAGTATGTGAAGACGGTGCGTCTGAATCTCTAGGCGTCCAGGGACATGGAATAAAAAAACATCAAGAATGTGGCCAAGGCTGCCACGCGCTTGACCGGTAAAATGTGATACAATATTAGATTGTGTCGTCAATATATTCATAGTTCTCGGTATATTAATGCTACATGCTGTTGAGGGCATCAATCTCGCCAGAATCATCCCCTCTCACATCAATTACCTTGGGAGCCATGCTAGACGGATGGGAGATTAGGAGGAAAAGGTCCTTGATGTCTGGGATATCCACGCTTGTTTATAATCTCACCAAATGTTCTGTGTCTTGCGTTCATAGGCGGTTAATCGCAGTTTGGTTTTCGTATACCCCTTGAAGAACGTAAGCAAAAATGCCTTTATGTTTTATATTTGATGCTCATCAATTTACCCTTTTTACTTGTCCGAAGGTAGAATGACGCCTAGCCAATGGATGCTATTGCAAGTGTGTCCACAGGTCCTTGGAGAAGTTCATTGAGGAAACTCGGTTCCATCCAGGACAGATTTATTCCTAGCGCTCTTCACAAAAGTAGCAGAATTACTTGGTGGAGTTGGCTTTAATTGCCTTGACAAGCTCCTGCAAGATTGGTTCGACAATCTAATCAGGGTCCTTTCGGAGCGGCATCAAGGCAACTCTATGTTTTTGGTTATTTTGAACGAGACGCAGGATATGGGGAGGGGAGGCTAAATACCAGTTTATTAATAACGACAACACTAAGCGACCAATATTATCAGCATTCTTTCATGGATTGGAGGGTTTATCAGAGGATTTACTACAAATCTGCATAGTTCCTTGCGGGATAGGCTTTTGTATTTATGATCCTGCTTGGGTTAAGAGAACTGGCAAAGCTTCAAGGAATATCGAGAAGTTCTCGATGACTCGAGGTTCAAGAGTGCAGTATCGTTTCCTAGATGGGATAATCAAGCAAAAGTCCGGACATACTTCAAAACACTTGTACGATATTTGGAGAAACAAGGTTCCTCAAGCTCTGCATCAAAGCTGAGAGGCCATTTTAATGATCAAGCAATCGAGATGCTATATACTTGGTCCTGTGGTCGTCTCCGTCCAATGATCACTATAATAGAAAACCTCATTGGACGTGCCGACGCAGGCCTTTGGAAGCAAGAAATCAAGGGCCTGGTGTGGTCGCTCACTGATCCAGGATATAAAGAATCTGGTAACCTATGCCATGAGTAATCTAGGATTCTGAAGCGTATTAACAAAGGGGATGCAGGAATTAAAACCAGTGTCGACATCAGGGAAACCTTCGGTCGAGCCGTAAAGAATAGATTACTATATAGTAAAGACTTGATATTGGAGTACAATGAGCCTGTTCCGGTCGAGGCTTCGTTTGCTCGAACTGTCGTTAATCAAAGGAAGAAGGAATTTACGATTGTCGTTGAGCCAATGGCATTTAACATATTTGAAGTGGATGACCCTGGATTGGTTAAATTGGTTAACAGTGTGTTACTAGATGCCCACTACGTCTGGCACAAAGGGCACACATTTTGAGTATTTCAGTCCCGCTTTGTTTAATTTCAATCTTCCAGAATTATAACAATGAACGAATTCTTGGATACTCACTGTAACAAAGACTCAATACATGAATCCAAGTTAATCTCGCTTTTTTTTTTTTGTTTCCAAAAGAGAACCTGTCTGGACCAGATATCGTCTTTGTATTAGAATCGGAGGGTAAATATTATCCTGTTTCCGTACAGTCAAAAATCGGCGATAAGGTCAAGAATTAAGGATGCCCATAATACAACTTGCCATAATTGCATCAAAGAACACCTCTCATCACCGTCTTCTCTCGGCTTTTGCTCGAATGACATATCCTTGTTGCTGTTGTTTAGGCCTTACTTATCACGTTGGCTTATCATATTGCCTTATCACGAACAGGGTGGTTATTCAGTAGCTAAAGTCAAAGAAGCCCCTGTCATCAAAGACAAACGAATAGAAACGACGTATTCAATATTAGCTTGTTGAACAGCGGATCAAATAAAGGAAAAAGTGAGTCGACTCAAGCGGAGGACGACAAGCCCAGTAGGCCAAGCAGGGATAAGGGACCAAGGAAAAAGTAGCGATCGTTTCTTTTACTTCTTTTTACTCGCCATTGTTTATGACAATGGCACAGACACAATTTTATAATGTGGCACTAATAGATAAACTAAAATATCACTATTTAGAGAACCTGAGCAAGGAGAAGTGAGCACACCAAGCGAATTGCCGCAGCTGCATCATCGGAATTTTCTCAAGCAAGTGGCAAGTTGTTTCTATTGTCTATTCCTATCTTTCCACCCATAAGTTTTGTGTTGGGACCCGACAAGCCATTCCAGGTCACATCAGAGGAGCATCCGATCAAGCAAGCATCATCCAAGGAGATGATTGATAATATTTACTGGATCATGCTTGAAGAGAAACCGATCAAACCTCGGAGAAAAGTGACAATGTCACATTCCTCCGTTCCATGGTCCCAGGCGACATACACGTCAAGCTTAAAGCTTAGGAGCTCGTTATCAACAACGATCAGAGTGTTAAGGCAACACCTAGATATTTAAAACATGCGGGACAGTGTGTCATAAAAACTCACATCAATACCGCATATGCAGGAGGACCGCCGAGGCTCAAGCATGAAGAAAAGAGTCGAATGTCAATCAAGTGAAAGGAATTTTGTCTTGTAATGAAAATACCATATCTATTGAGTATCCTTTTACAATCGTTCATCCTTTATGAACGGAGCCATCACTATCCACTTGCCCTTTTGACAAACGGGATGGCACTTTTTAATCGGTCCTACACGCACACCCAAATCACTAGCCTCATTTTTACCAATCATCTCTTGTTTCCATCATCTGCGTTGCCATCTATTATTCTAACATTTTATTACTCTAACATTTGAATCTACTCCACAGTTCTCGTTTCCATCTCTCTGACCTTATTAAGCACACTATCTTAATTAAAGGTAATTAGTTGATTAATTAGAGCATGATGACTCTTTTTACGCGAAATATACCATCCTTTTTTCTCATTCCTCGTTCGTTCTCAATCAAATCAATATCCTAGTCTGGACTTTGAAAAAAAAAAAAAAAAAAAAAAGAGCCATTTTCTGCGGCGAGAATGGCAGAAAAAAAAGAGCCTTTCCTGCGGCGTGTTTTCGACTTTGAAACTTTTTCAAATTTAAAAAAGAGACCTCCAGCCAAAATGTCAAGTTTGGGTCCCAAGCTGAGAGAGAAGTGTCTGCAAGAGCAAGCCAGATTTGCCTTTCGGTACGTGCATGTGCACATGAACTTCGTCCTCAAAAAAAAGGTAAGTTTGCTGTGGCTTGGGTATGAGCAAGAATTTTGGTGATTCCATTCAGATTTCTTTTTTATACTCATTTTTCATTGAATACAAGTTCCTTTTATTATTATTATTATTATTATTATTTTAAATGCTAAGGGATTGATCTATTCGAAACTGTACATTGGGATTACAGGATATCAGGAGGATCTAGGAAAAATAAAAAAAAAGACATTAGTGCTTTTTCTCTTTTGGTTTATTCCAACAACTCTTTGTCTTTTCTCCCCTCTTCCTTCTTTCCTCAATATCTCAATAGTGATGTTGCAAATAAAAATCAGGTCACGAATAAGAGTTCTCCTCAGAAAAAAGAGTCGGTAGTCTAACATACAATTTGTGAAAACATCATTTTTTTATTTTTATTTTTTTCCCTTGCACACACAATGGACTGAGGAGAAACGAATAGGAAGAAGATATAAAGAAATGGGGAATTTATAGTTACCTTTCAATATATTTTGCTTTCAAAAGAGAAATGAAGAAGATTCGTTTGGGTGCGAAAAGAAGAGTGAGTGAAAGTGAAAAGTAAAAGTAAAGCGAGAGTGAGAGTGAAATTGTGAAGGCAATGAAAGAAAAAAAAAAAAATTTTCAACAGACAAAAATAATATTCCATTTGACAACCACCCCTTCCCCTTAACTATTCTTCTCTTCTAGCTTTTTGTCTTTATATCTATATAGATATAGGAGGCTGTGTGTCTGGACACCATTAAGATGCAATGTACACATATACGGGGATAAAAAAAAACTCGTCAGTCTCATCAATCATTATTGCCCATTGCTCAAAAGGAATCTGATAGAGGTAGATGTCCTGAATCCAAGCATTTGACGCTCTTACAAGCTTGAAATAAAGGATCTATTACTCTGTCACCTTTTATACATGTGTAAAAAATAATGAGGATATTGTGTGGGGTGCTGTCCAAAGACTTTGAGTTTGAAGCCCTGCTAGAAATATGGAGTTACGATTGATGGAACATATTAAGCCAGATAGTGGATCTCCCTTTTTATCCGATGAATTTGTGCCGATTCCATCCTTGTATCCATATATCCCTCTGGAAGGACATCGTTATATTTAAGCAACTCAATGTGCTCTTTTTTTTTTGTGGTTCTGTAACGCTTCACTAGCAGAATAACTAATTAGGTCAGATAAATGAAGGACAATAGCGATTTTCCGCTGTGTAGGGCTTGGCAAATGAGCAAATGACCATCAAAGTCTTAAACATGTATAAAGTGCTAGGCCGTTTCGTAGAGTTGCAAGCCATGGGGGAAAAATCAGTTAAATCCAACAACAATGATTTTTTTATTTCTAACTGGTGAAAATATACGCTGGAAATACATATTGTCTCTTCGAAATAAGATCGTCTTTTATTTTTTCTTGTTGCACACCTCTCAACCAAAAAAAAAAGGAAAAAGAAAGCATGGACAGTATTCTCGGTATGATTCTACATGGACTCAATAAATCAAAAAGAATAAAGGGATCTTTATTACTGTCACCAGCGGGAATGATATTCATTATGTGTTTTTTTTTTTTTTTTTTTTTTTTTTTTTGGTCTCGCGTGGACATGGATGTTTGATTGTTAGACACTCAGCGAAGACTCCATGAGGAGATCGACCGCCTAGAGCAGGCCATTGTCGATCAGTTCATGCTCAATCCCAAGACTGTATGTTTTTAAGGCTTTCTTTTTTATCGCTGTCATTATCATTGCGAATGGACATTTTTTGCTGAAGCCTAATACTTTTTACCTTTATTATTATTATTTTCTCCCTTAAAGCATAAAGAGCGTTTGCTTCAGGAGCATACAGTAGATGGCTATTTGGATCGGATCAGCGCAAGGAGCAGAGATCTACAGATTATTTACAAGGACGAAGACGGGTAATGCCAGAAGGAGGGAGGGAAAAAAAAAAAAAAAAAAAAAAAAAAGAGCTTCTGCAAGAAATTGGTGCCTGTTCATTTTTAATCAACCACTTTTTATTTGATTTGTTTATTGTACTTCACATATATATAGGAATCGAAAAAAGGAAATGGACGCTATTTCAGGTGCCAATGAGTTTGGAGAGTTTTATGATCGCTTAAAGAAAATCAAGGATTATCATCGGAAATACCCTAATGAAGCAGTGGAGCCGATGGAACTTGAGTTTTTGGATCAACAACCAACAGAAGCCAAGCTGGATGCTCTAGATGAGATGTTCTCGGGAGAGGAAGCAGTAGGACGATATTTGGACCTTCATGAGGTTCATGATATCTTCTTGAATCTCAAGAGTATGAAACGGACCCATTATCTGGGATATCTCTCCGAGTTTACATTATTCCATGAGATTGATCGGAAAGATAAGGACGCTGAATACCACAAGTATGTTTTTTTTTTTTTTTTTTTTTTTTTTTTTGAGAAAAAAGATATAACCATGCTATTGCTTATTGTTCAACTGAGCCATACTTTTGCCTATTGTTCAATTGAGCCATGCTTTTGCTAAATCATGTCTTAATTTATTATTATTATTATTTTCTTTTAAACAGATATTTGGATGCACTATGCAGGTATATGGAAGACTTTTTGAAGCGCGTAAAGCCTTTAACGAATATGGAGGAAATTAAGGCAGATGTACGGAAAGATTTTGAAACAAAATGGAAAGAGGGCTCATTGCCTGGATGGCCCAAGAAGGCAAAAGAAGGCGAAGGAGAGAACTTGCCACCGACGGACCTATTTTGTGTGGCGTGTAAGAAACAATATGCTAAAGACACAGTGTACGAAGCACATTTGAAGAGTACAAAACATATCAAGGCAGCAGCACGATTAGCTGCTGAGAAGACTGGGAATGGATCAACAAAAGCAAAGGGTGGTAGTGGGGATGGTGATGCTGCTGCTTCAGGAGATGCTGTTTCTTCAACAAGCATTGCAAACACAGATGAAGAAAGTGTCGCGGCGGTGCAATCAAGAGTACTGGCAGAGAAGGCGAAGCCAGAAAAGGACATGGCATTTACAGAATTGTTGATTCAAAAGTATGCAGAGATTTTGAAGCAGCAGATCGAGGATACCAAGGAAAATGTGGAACGTCGGCAGACTTTGACAGGCCGCGAGCGTGACGTAAGTTTTTTACGATCTGTCTGAATCAACTCTTTTTTTTTATTTTTTTTTTCTAAATCTGTATCTGTATCGATCATGCTATAGCTCGAATTAGAGGCAGAGCAGGTGGAACTGGATGAATCCGACTCTGACGACGACGAAAAGGTGTACAACCCATTGAAGTTACCACTGGGATGGGATGGCAAGCCCATTCCATATTGGCTTTATAAGTTGCATGGATTAGGCGTTGAGTACTCATGCGAGATCTGTGGAAACTATGTATACAAAGGGCGCAAGGCCTTTGATAAACATTTCCAAGAATGGCGCCATGCACATGGCATGCGGTGTCTTGGTATCCCTAATACAAGACAATTCCATGAAATTGTCGGTATTGAGGATGCACTTGCATGTAAGAGAGACTTTTTATTTTATTTTTTTCCTGCGTTTTTTTTTTTTTTTTTTTTTTTTTTGTTATGTCATTAACCTAACCTTCATCCAATTCTTCAATAAATAAATAAAAAAAAAAAAAAAAAAAAATTAGTATGGAACAAGATCAAGAAATCGAAACCAGAGGGTGCAAAGAGGGATCAAGTGGAGGAGTTTGAGGATAGTGAAGGAAATGTGTTTAATAAGAAGACATACGAGGATCTTAAGCGCCAGGGTCTCATTTGAGCAGAGAATGACTAAATATCTTGTATTCGCAGTCTTAATAAAACACGAGTTGATAGAAACCAAAAGAAGAGCATGGGCCATTGCGAATATTAACACAGACATTTATTAGAATGTGGCTTTGTAACGCTAACGCGCGATAAGTCGGAGACCCTTTTTGGTACTGTATACCCAACCGTTTCCGTCCTATTACAGTTGCATTCTTACTTTTTTTTTTCATTTCTTTTCGTTTCTTTTCATTTCAACAAACGCACCCTTTAAAATACTCAACATGATTCCCTCGACTATTCGCATGGCTGCTGCTGCTCAGACACGCACGCCTCTGATCAAATTCCTTGGACCGCGTAGCGCGTTGAAGGAAGGTAAAATGAACAAGTACTCGAGTGCTCAGACCAAGAACAACAAAACAGGCGTTGCAAGTCTTTACTTGTTTTATTCTCAGGAGAATGAAAGGAAAAAGGAGACATCGGATACAGGATACTTATGAATCAGTGAAAGAATAGCCATATTAATCGAATACTATCGTGTTCTGAAATCACGAGGAAACAATACTATGTCAAGATAAGCAGGATCTGAGGGATTAGTTAAGAGACAATTACTCTGAAGGGGCGGTGTTATAGAGTATCCCATCATCTCATCATCCAACAATTGTAATAGACTAATCGTGATTGAAAACAATCGAGATTGGAAAAGATGAATATGCAAAATAGTAATAGTGGATACGACGGCAATTGTACACAGAACTCTAACGATCGTGGATAGACGTCATGAACAATTGAGAGAAAGGATACGAAACCTTGATTCCATATTATTCCTATTACCCTTATTACTCAAGGATTAAAGACAAGAAAGCGTATTACAAAAAAAAAAAAAAAAAAAAAGTGGTCTTACTAAAATATGATTGCATATCTCTTATGAACTTTCAAGAACATCATGAACCTTCACGCCATCCTGCGGCCCCCAAGGGTGCTGCATACCCCCTCAAGACTGCATCTCCTACTAATGAGTCATCATCATCAGCATCGGTATCATCATCAAAATCTTCTAATGTGACACAGACTCCGGGACCCCATGGTACCACAAGACATTCCATGGACTTTACAGAACTTCCAACACGTTATCGTCACCCTATTTTGACTGAGGCTGAGATTGAGGCTGTGGAGGTAAAGTGAAACAAAAACATGGGGGTTTTTTTTTTTTTTTTTTTTTTTCAACGCGCATAAGAACAACGTGATTTCCATATTATGAAGCCTTAATGATTAAGGAAGAAAAGGCGTGTATTACCGAAAGGTCTAACTATCCATCTTTCTTCATTTATGATAGACTGGTGGCGCTTCCAAAATCTACTAAAAGAGAAGAGGGGGGGAAAAAAATGGTAAAATAGATCTTTGGCTTTCATGGACATTCTCTTTTTTTCACACTTGTCACGTTCACTTCCGTCAAATAAAGAAGAACAAATGAACCCGATCTGTCGTATACATTTATTTCCTATGCGCTTTTCCTTTTATTTTTTTAAGCGGAGGTTAGAATTCAGGATAAAATAATCTGTATATTATATATATTTATACAACATTTGTATATTTAAACATTTGAGATATGAACCGCTGGAGCAAAAGTCCTGAACATCAAAAACATTAAATGATTGGAAAGACTGCATCGCCTCGAATTTCACAAAGAATGAGCATTGGAGGCTCAATAATCAAGTACAAGTACTGTACATGTAATAAATTAAAGATCCACGTACATGTACACAGATTGAAGGTTTGCTTTTTTTAGTTTTTAGCATAGGATAAACCTCCCCTCCAAATTTTATTGAGAGCCCTGTAGCTAAGCAAAAGTATACAGTTATTAATACTTTTTTTTGTATCTATTTACCCTTCTCTCCAGTAGAAGAGACAGGGATAGAGGGAGAGAGAAGAGGAGGTCATCCTTCATCCTAGACTCTCGAAAGAATCGCTGCATATGCAGGCAGAGCAAAACAAAAAAAAAAAAAAAAAAAAAAAAAAATTAAAAAAGTGAAGAAGTAGCGTTGATGTAAAGAAGCAAAAAGAGAGAGAGAGAGAAGAAGGAACAAAGACCCATTCACTTCTGCACGTGCATCTAGATACCCTTGTCTTACTCTTTTATTCTAGTCTACATGTATTAATATATTTATATACTTTACTCATCCATAGTTAATCCGAGACTTTTTCTTATTTTTTTTGCTCGATTATGAATGCATTTTTGTTATTCCTTCTGAGCTTAGACCTCAGGAACAAAAAAAGATATAAAGACATGTATAAAAAAAAAATAAACCGGGACAATTGCTGTGTGGGAAGTGTGGGAAGTGTGGGAAGTGTTAAAGAAAGCAGAAAAAAAAATAAAAAAAAAAAAAAAGGTTAGAAAGCAATGGATGGTGCCGTATAAATTTTAATGTACACATATGGATACATGAAAGAAGAAAACGTTTGTCTAGACCAATCATTACTTTTACCTATTTTCTTAAATGGATGGAAGGACTGTTTCGTCCTCACCACGTTCAACTCCATCGATAACAAAACAATTGTTTTTTAAAAAAAAAAAAAAAAAAAAAATGTTTGCTCGCGATGTTTCTTCCTGTGTTGGAGTTGTGTAGACTATCCATGAATGAAATTGGTCCGCAATGATACTAGCATTTAAAAGTATATAACAAAAAATATATTTATAATAATTAAAATCCTTTGTATCATCCTGGTCCCTGTAATTCTGTACTACCCCGCTGAAATGTTCATCTAAACAACCCTGAAAAAAGGTGTCTTTTTTATTTTCTAGACACCATAGTGGCAAAGAAGAAAAAGGAAGAGTTCCCTTTCCTCCCGCTTCAAGATGGTTTATAGTTTTAAATAAAAGGTATTTACCACCGATAATTTATAAAACAAGTGAACCTCCACGGTGTTCTGTGTCCTTGCTTTGACCGCCGCACAAGTAAATTTAGCGTAAATTTAATTCGTTTTTGAAGGGCAATCAATCAACTGTCGAGCCGAACGTTGAAAATACCCAACACAAACAACAACGCCTGACACAGCCAGGCCAAAAGCCTGCCAAGAAGAAGAAGAAGAACAAGGCCCTTCCAAAGTCGGTATAAATTGTTGCGAACGACGTGCGTGGTGACATGTTTCAACGAACAGTTTTTAAAAAAGCAAATGCTCTTTCCTAAGATCCATCGCCATTTCAACTCCCTCTATTGTTTAAATTAAGAAAAAAGCGTTAAACAATAGCTTGTCGGAACCGGGTTTGACCTTGATGGCCTTGATAAATATTTTTATATTGATAGAGTATGCTTTATAGATTTTTTTTTTTTAATTTTTTTTTTTTTTTTTTTTTAAGCTGAGCTGCTCATTCATTCCATTCAGTCCGCAAGGCGGATAGATAAAAAAAAAGGCATGAAAAGCTCGCAGATCTAAAAAAATAAAAAATAAAAAAACACAGATGCTGATTTATTATGTTTGGGTCTATGTTCATGTCTATGCCCACTCTGCGTTTTTACTGCGCTCCAGTATGGCGACCACATCAATGCTATTTAATTATGGATATTCAGTTTTTTTTTTTTTTTTTTTTTTTTTTTTTTTTTTTTTTTTTTTTTTTTTAATTCTTATTCCCACTCTCTTTTTTTGGACGCATGGCACATCTTGTGCTCTCGTCATTGTTATTCAATAGTTTTTTACACTTCTATATTCACTCGATGTCTTTATCCATCTCGCCCAACAAACAAATGATAGATACAATGGTTTTTTTTTTTTTTTTTTTTTTTTTTTTTTTTTCCTGCTCTACTGTTCGATGGATACAGTATTTGTATTCCTGCAGATGAAAGTGAAAGTGAAAGTGAAAGTGAAAGAGAAAGAAACAACAATCTGTTTGAAATGTACAATAATAGTAGGAACTATCATATAATAATAAAACAAAAATGCGCGCTAGTTCACTCATCAATCATTAGTTTATTGTTTAATTCGAAGCCTGACCATTCTCCGTTGTCTCGACCATGCTGACCATGTCAAACAGACAGAGTTTTTTGGATGCTCTGCTTACTCTGTTTGCCTTAGCTGGCTTAGATGTTTTTTTTTACCCTTTCGTTTGTGGCTCCCCACTTCAGTCCCACTCTTTCTTTTTCCTTCCTTTTTCCTTTTTCTTTTCTCTTCTCTTCTTCTTTCCCGCCCCTTCATTAACGTCTTCTTTCCATCCTTTCCTCACCCCACCTCTACACCTCGCCACCGCTGCCTCCCTTCCCTTCCCTTCCTTCTCTTTCCTCTCTTTCGGCTCTATTCCCAACTTCCGCCCCCTTCCACTGCCTTTCACAGGCAATCTTTTACACATCCATACACGTCTCTACGACAGATCCACACCCAACTTCCTCTTCCTTCTTTCACACACACACGTACACATTCCATCACTCCTTCTTTCACAGACATCATCCAGCACTCCTCGTCACTGTGTACTTGCCTTTGCAAAGTTGCTCAGTTACTAGGAGGGAGTCAATCAAAGACAGACAAAAAGAAAAAAAAAGAAAGAAAAAAACCAATTGAGCAATACCTCCTTTTTTTTTTCTTCCTTTTTTTTTTGTGATCCTTTTTTGGGTTACCTTTGGACATCCCTTTTCTTTTCACTCTCTTTTTTTTATTTTATATTTCGTCGACATTGTCTGTTTATCTCTATTTCTACTTGAGCATAAACAACAGCACTGATATTTCGCTCTTTATTAAAAAAAGAAAAAGGTAAAAAAAAAAAAAAAAAAAAATAGAAAATGACAGCAAAGAAAATAGTGTCTCATAACAACATCATCCAACCCCTGCCCCTGAACTACAAAGTAAGGACAGGGACAACACAATCTTGTTACTGTCATCAATCAACAGCCAATCAGCCAGCAAAAGCAATTTTCTTGTGGTTTTTTTTTTTTTTTTTTTTTTTTTTCTGCGCTGAAATACGTCTCTCATTTCCTTTGCCACAGGAGTTTATTAAAAAAAAAAAATTAAATGTATCAGCCTAATATTTCATTGAGGCGGGCAATTATTTACTCCTCAATTCCCCTTGAACCATACCATGACCAATATTTCTAACCAGACATGCTCTCTCTTTCTCTTTTTCTCCCCTTCTTCTCTCTTTCTCATATTCTTCTATGGAATCCTCTCTCCGACCTCTTCTTCAACAACCTGAAATCTCCTCCACGGTTTGTAACACGTTCATACCAACAACTGCTTCCCAAATTTATCCAATTCGATCCACGGACCTGTACAACCATACAATGCAACCGTGACACCAAATATCGACAAAAACAATAGTACAAAAAAAAAAAAATCCTTTCTTTCAGAAACCATGCTCTTGTCTTCATCTCACAGGAGTCTGTCCCATAAGGCTGTTGCTAATAGCAGCAGCAACAGCAGCCTCAAACGTTTGTCATCACGGTCAAAGTCACGTTCCTCAGTCTTTTCTCGCAATCATAAACGTTCTTTCCGCACAACAGCCGCACTCCCTCTTTTCCTCATCCTCTTCAGCTTGCTTTTGATTTCAAGCCTTGTTCCTCAGGCTTCGGCTGCACCTCTTCAACCAGGATTCTGTCCAGATTGTCAGACGTTCGCCTTGGCCATCAAGCCCTGTGGCGGAACATTTGAACCCAAGGATATTGAAATCAATGGCATGTACAACCCACCTCAATCAGTCGCCAAGTGTGCCTGTTCAGATATCATGCAAAAAGTTCTCTGGACCTGTGCTCGATGTGAACTGTTGGCAGGCTTTACCAACGCAAAGACTCCTCCACCTCAGATGTATCAGACCCAATGCATGAGTTGGGGCATCACCATTGACGCTTGGCGTGCTCCTTATACTGGTGATGTCGTTGCCGGAACAAACACCGCTCCCTTGAACGGCGAGGGCGGAGTCCCCGCCAACCCTGTCCCCACCAGCAACCCCGCCAACCCTCCAGGAGGATCTGGTAATGGAGGCGGATCTGGCAGCAACCCACCTTCAGGCACCTCCGCCGCTGTTCCTACTAACTCTAATGGCAGCCCTGTTGAACCATCTGAATCAGAGGGCGGTGGTCCCAATGGAACTGCGATTGGTATCTCACTTGGTATCATTGGTGTTGCTGCTGTCGGAGGCGCAGCCGCTGTGATTATGATGAAGCGTAGCCGTCGTCGACATGAGCCTTTGGAATTGGATGACACATATGTTGGAATGGATCATCAATGGGAAAAACCCGCTCGTTCACAATCGCCTTCAATGCCACCAGCCGTTGCTAGTGGAGCACCCGTGGCCTCGCGTGGACCCATGCACCGACCCTCACCTTTCGAAAGTCGTCCCGGCGGTAGTTCTGGTGGAAGTGTTGTTGGTGGTTATGATCCTCAATATGACAACTATGATCATCACGGTCATCCCGGCGGTAACAATTACGAGTATGGACACCATCAAGCTGCTCCAGGATATGATGGATATGATGGATACAATAATGGGGGTTACCAGCAAGGATATGCCGGCCATGGTCAAGAATATGGTTATGAACACGCTGTACCAACTTCTGGCCCCTTCCAAGGTGCCAAGCCCAGTGAGAAAGGACAATACTTGTAAAAAAAAAAAAAAAAAAAAGAACAAAAACATTCTTTTTTTTTTATTTTATTTTAGATAGCAAGTAGCCTTTCTTGACCCTGGTCTTTACATAACCTAACCTAACCTAACCTAACCTAACCTATCCTATCACCCTCTGTGTTATTGTCTTTGCTCCTCTCCTTCTTTTACCCTCTTCCCTCATCTCAATTACAAATATACCGTAGAAAAAAAAAGATAAAAAAAGATAAAAAAAAAAAAAAAGATGTTTGTGCCGTAATGATAAATATATAAATATATACATATAAAGGATGACTTTTCTTTCTTTTTAATGCAAACAATAATCCCAATAGACACTCCTAATTCAACATGAAACCATTGATTGATACATACAAGTGTATATTAATACAAATATATCATCAATGCTTGATCATAAATTCTGCTTTGCCCATTTGTGCGACCCAGTTATCGGAGCCTAAACTGCTGGACTGCTGCTTCTGTCCTGTTGCTGTTGTTGTTCCGATCCTGACTTCTCCATCACTATCTGCTGCTTCTCTTGAAGACCTTGGGCCCCAGCTTCTGTAGTTGTCCCACTTTGACGTTCATCTCGTTCTTTCGACGTCTGCTGTTGCTGTTGCTGTTGCTGTTGCTGTTGCTGTTGCTGTTGCTGTTGCTGTTGCTGCACTGGGACCCCAACCTCATCTGGATCATAGAAATTACTCTCCCAATCATCATTATCATCTTCATCACCATTCTTTTTTGCTTCTTCTTTTACAGCCAGCTTGATGTCTTTCAAAGGATCAGCAGGATTTCTGTTTGGATTCCAATCACAGGAATATTTCCATCCACCCAAGGACCTTAACCGTTCACAGCTGGCATGAGAACCTATAGAGTAAGAGATAGAACCATAGGCCAGGTTCGAGAAGCTAAAACAGGACAAGATCACGACTGATATCAATGCTAGCCCAGTCAAGTGCCGAAGACGGGTTGGCCAACGCTGCCAGGCTCGGTCCAGTCGTGAGACCAATAACAAGATTGAGAAATAAAGCGCTGGCAAGTAATGATGTAGATAGAGCTGACGAGACATGAAGAAGAAGGGGATATAGTGGATGGCCCAACCTGCAAAGAACGTTCCAGATGCCACTGCATAGAATGGGGTTATACCTTTTTTTTTTTTTTTTTCAGAGGTAAATAAAAAAAAAAGAAAAAAAAGAAAAGAAAAGCAATGTTAGCAACTACGATAAGCACAGATATGAGATCCAACATGGATTAGGGCTTACCGAAGCGATCTCGTTCAATCTTGGTCTCTGTTTTGCTCAGAAGGAACTTGATCGCATTTGAGAATGTGGTCAGGATATAGAGCGCGACCGCTGCGGTAGCAGTCCACCAAAGGATTGGATTTCCCATGAAATGAACATAATGGCTTGAACGCTTATCAGTATAATAATCCATGCCTTGTCGCATGAGTGGCCATGACCAAGGTCGAGACCCGTCCAAGGCTTTTAGTTTCTCATCCCAATGACCATCTCTATTCACAGGTGCGCTCAGATCATGATGGGTCCACCACATGACTCGATTCAATTCAAGGAACTTTTGGAAGAATGTTAAGGGCTTATACGAGAGCGAAGGCGTTGACGATGGTACTGTCAATAGGAGAGAGGAAGTACACAGATAGGAGAGATGGATTTTAGTACAGCAATGAACCCCATAGAGATATTAAAAAAAAAAAAAGCAAATGAAAAGCATTAAAACGAATATTTACAGTGCGAATTGACGTTCTGGTCAACGATGAAGATAGTGTTAGCCCTCTGACGATCGCCTTGGATACATGTCACTTCTTGATAGGTCGAGTGAGGCGCTCTGAAGACTTTGTGAGAGTGTAAGTAACACTGATGTTTTTCATTCCATAGTTTGAACCCTTTAATCGAATGCCACTGCTTCTTGAACTCTGTCTTGATCTCCGCTGCTCCAAATTCCATATCCTTTTTCAACAGCTTATTATTATTATTATTATTCAAAGTTGTTCCTGAGGTAGGTTGTTGACTTTGATCTTTATGATCATCCTTATTAATGTTTTTATTCATCGCCCCATAATTATCTGCCAATCCTGGGACCACTCCTTCGGCGACGAGCTCGACTCTCCAGATGGCCTCCTCTGTCGGATGTTTCCTCCACCTAATCCCTCGGACTTCTCTCAAGAACGTTTTATTGGAGCCCAAGGATTCAATATCGTTGGTCGCAAGGGCCACTTTGGAATAACAATGGCGAAGTCGAATCTGATCTCCTTCAAAGACAAAACCATCAAACGTCGCTGTTGGGTTCATTTTCCGTGCTATTTTCTGTCTAGCATGTTTTTGACGAAGTTTGGGGTCTGCAGGATAGATCTGCCAGCAAGTAAGATCATCGTCCCATTCAACGAGCTGGATAGCTTGATCTATGAAGGTTAGAGGAAAGGGAACACGATTGTTATTAAATAATAATAATAATAATAATAATAAAAAAATAACAAGAACAAGAACAAGAACAAGCTCTAAACGGTTATTTTCCTATATCCTTTTATCTCCTTACCTTTGGAACCCTCTCGCGTGTATTCTCCAGGCATGGTATGAATCCAACCACCATTGGTGTTGGCGTGACGGATATGGACCTTTGAATCCCATGCGATATCTATAAAAAAGAAAAAAGAAAAAAGAAAAAAGTACCGAAAAAAGATATTTTAAATCGGCGTTAAATAATGAGGTTGGTTGATTTTGACACTTGCTCTCCCCATATGGGATTTCTCTTCTCTTTTTTCCTTTTTTTTTGTTTTGTTTGCCCCATTATTTACCAGCCATGACTGGCAACACATCATGTCCTTCCAGTGTCATTTGGAATTGTGGACTGACCCAGACGTTGCCAGAGCCAGACTTTGGAAGTAACTTGAAGTCCACAGCATAAAGTCCAACATAGAGCACTGCTGGCAAGACAAGGAGACAGACAAATAATGCTACGAATTGCTTAGAAAAGTTTCGCTATAATAATAATAATAATAATAATATATAAAGAGTATCAAGCTCCGTACCAACTATACTTATTTTAACGAAGGTGCTTCAAAAAAAAAAAAAAAAAAAAAAAAAAAAAAAACTTACTGTGCTGACATAGAGTGTAGTCCTGGACTCCTGTAAGTATTTGAGTACACACACACCAATAGTAGCAATAGTAAAGAGCCCAACCCATTTGACACTATGAAGGATAATAATAACAATAGTATATAATAATAATAAAAGTAATAATGAGAAGAGGGTAAGTAATATGGAATAAAAAAATCTCTTTTAGTTCAAGATGAAAGTAAGTTAGTTTTTTTTTTTTTTTTTTTTTTTTTTAATAAAAAAAAAAAAAAGAATTACCTGCTTGACAAGAACAAGGAGAATCCCGTCTGAATCAACCAAAAGCACCAACCACTAGTAAAAGGACGATTGCGGTGGTTATAAAAATTGATCCATGCCAGCACTGTGTAGCCCATGAACAGTAGCATGGGTGCATCCAACAGGATAAATCGACTCTGCGTAATCATGGCATTTTCTATGCATTTTATGCGATTCGATTTTTCTTTTTTAGAAAGTCGTGCGAGTCAAAAAAAAATAAAATAAAAATAAAAATAAAAATAAAAATAAAAAGGAAAAAAGAAAAAAGAAAAAGAAAAAGAAAATCCTTACCAAAGGTAATAAAGATTGCGCAAATGATCGCCGCTTGTGTTGAATGGCCGGATCTCTTCATCGTTAGATATGAAATAGGGATCAACCCCGCTCCACAAGCAGCTGCAAACATTCGCATTCCGATATAAGGGACATTGTTCTTGTACAAACTGTTGACATGTCACATCCACATACAAAAAAAAAAAAAAAAAAAAAAAAAAAAGGTTGGTTGGTAGCTGATCGGGTCGCGTTATTTCTCAAATTCCAAGATATTGCCATCAAATGTATAAGACTGGTGCTTACTTTCCAGGCACAAAATCAAAGTTTCCGTCAAATCGAAGCAAGTAGGCGACTGCAGTGTAGAGTAACTTTCCCAAGGGTGGGTGGACATCCATGAAGAATTCACCTTTAAGGTAATCGACTGTAAATCCTCCAAAATACTGCTCATCGGATCTAGATTACATGTAATATGATGCGATCAACAAATCAGATGGGTGAGCTGCGTTGCGATAGAAACTCATTTGGAATGTAATTTCACCTGTGCTCCTATTTTTAATAATTCCAATGCGCTTTTTTTGTTTGTTTGTTTTGTTAGGGACAACAGGAGTAACAGTTGTTTTTCTCCCCCCCCTCTTCGCCCATCCATACCATCTGTCCAAGTCAACATTCCACATTATGCTGATATTACAAATATGGAGAGAGTGAGAGGCAGTATGAAGTGAAAAGCGCAGAAAGATAAAGGCCATAACACCATAAATCACTTACACAACAGCGCGAGGGATAGCCAGCTTCCAGATGCGTACCAGTGTTGCGATTGCCGTCAAGGTCGCAATCAAGATCATCTGTCCCCTTGAGCTTTCCCAGCCCTTCTTTGAGAGCTGCTTCCTCTTCCATTTTTCATGCTCGTTCAACCCATCGTCATCGCTATCAATATCTTCATAAGGATCTGCAGAGGGTAGCAATAAATCCCAATCGTTGAAGATGTCCCGGACGCCAATACGGCCTCCTTTACCTCCCGCCCCTCCTTTTTTGCCTGTTGTTGTGGCTTTACGGAGTGCTATCCTTGTATTCATCTTCCTTCGCTCATCACAACTGTCTGGACCACTATCCATGCCATCGCTCATATAATCTTCATTCGATCGATAAGATCCAGGTCGGAATGTTCTTCCGACCTTGCGGCTGAAAAAACCCCCTGTACTGCCAGCATCTGAGGAACACTCTCTTTGAGAAGCAGATGCACTCGAACTAAGTGAGGCCAGTCCTGGGGAATATGGATTATCTTCTTCATCTGCATCTCCACCTAGTAGGCTCGTATCAATGTTGAGAGACGTCTCTGAGGCACTACTATGGACCCTAGAGCGAGTGTCATAGTAAGTCCGGACCGAGCTTGAGATGCCAGAGTCGTAGCCCGCACCAGCGGTCCTTCTACGATACGAGTTACTAGCGCTCGTACTCCTATTGCCGCCTCCGTTACGTTGATGTTGTTGTGAATTGATAAAAGGTGGTGTTGATCTATAGGGAGATCCTGGTGGTAAAATGGGTGATGGGGGTCCTGACTCGTAACTATCGTAGCCCGATACACTGGCTGCAGCACTATTATTGGCTCCAAAATAAAGACCTTCTCCTTCATCATGGCTAAGAGGTGTTCCGGGGCGAGAGCCATAGTGGTTTTGATATGGGTTAGAGCCACGGTGTTGTTGAGATGTGTGGCTATCGCCTTGATTAGAGTGTATTGAGGAGACACTGCCCGCACGGGATCTCACCGGGTTTGAGAACGGAAGTTCAGAGGATCTACCTGGATTATAACCCCCGAACGCCATTTTTTTTTTTTTTTTTTTTTTTTTTGCTCGTTTACGTTTTCTTTTTTCTTTTTCTTTTAAAGCAAGATGTTACTATCTTATCCAACAAGAAGGTTATAATATATCAAATAATTAAATAATTTTTTTAAAAAAAAAAAAAATAATAATCAAGTATCATGAGGCCATGAAGGATATGTAACCGAGAAAAAAAAAAAAAAAAAAAAAAAAAAAAGAAATATAGATAGATGAGAATGAAGGAAAGGAAAAAGAAAGAGAAGAAAGAAGGAAATGTTATTCTTATCCGACGCGTTAGGAACATGAGGAAAAAGGTGGCAATAAAAAGGGACAGATGTATATACATGTGTAGTTGGTTCAGTAAGAAGGAGAGGGGCCTTTCCTTCTCCATATTATTCTATTCTTCCCCTCTCTCTACCTTTTCTCCTCACCATCTTTTGTACTTTTTTTTTTTTTTTTTTTCTTTTTCGATTGTTCGGCTTGAATCAGAAGAATCTGAAAGCATTAAATGAAAAAAAAGGGATATTAAGGTCCACCATAGACAAGGAATGTCCCTTTGAATTTTTGTGGAGAATATCAGTGTTCCAGAAGGAGACACCAGCCCCGCAGCTGATTCTGGTATACGCGTTTTACTATCAAGCTTCAATGAAGTCAATCTTGAGAGGAATAATAAATATATAAATAGCATTGATAGTTAAAAGATCCGTTAGCAAGCAATGGCCTTTCACTTTGTAATGGCTAAAAGAAAGTCGAATGAATCTCATCGAGCTTAATCAATCTTCATCCTCATCTTGAAGAAACATGTCTTGTTTCATTAAGAATTTGCCACCAATTTTTACGCGTTTTTTTTTTTTTTTTTTTTTTTTTTTTTTTTCCTTCTTCATTTTCATGCATGTCTAATTTGTCACTCTAATTGTGCAAAAAATATAACACACATACACACACACCTACACTTGCCGAACTTGCCATTTCCATTTTACTTTTCTGGTGTTTGTGGAATAAAAAATACAAACAAGATGGATTTTGTTTTTATTATCCTTCGAAATATGTATAACAAAAAAAAAAGATTTGGCGTAATGTGCGTGATTTCGTAATATTGAAACAAGGAATTACCAGAGGCGGGAAGATTCTCTTTTTTCTTCTTCTTCCTCTTCTTCTTCAACAATTCCAGTGCAAGTTATAGGTTACTGCATAACAGGAGCATTATAAAAAAAAAAAATAAAAAATAAAAAATAAAAAATAAAAAATAAAAAAAACCTAGTGGAGTGTGCAACTGGGCAAAACTGGGCTTTGGAGGTCTGTTCACGTTGGTCAGTGCACCCAATTTTTTTTTTTTTTTTTTTTTTTTTTGGATCATCTTTATCCATTTCATTAAACCAAATAGAAAAAGATGGAAAGAATGGAAAGAATTGAAAGAATAAGGCGTAATGTCCCAATGGTTAAATTATACATCTTTTTTCCAGTATCCTTTGTGCCTTCGTCCACACCGCGGAACAATAAGGAAAAGGAAAAGGAAAAGGAAAGGGAAAGGGAAAGGGAAAGGTGTGACTTTATCTCTCTATCAACACGAAGTTCCTTTTTCAGGTTTGGAAAAAAAGAGCAATCTGCACAGCATGGTTCTCTTTACTTTATTATTATATATCAATATTATTAATATTATTTCCTTGTTCTCTTGCTCGCTATCATTCATTGCATTCTACTCTGCATTAGTGCTTCACATCCTTATCTGCGAAACGACAACACTTTTTTTTATCGCAACTGGGAAACACGCCACAATTTTCTGCGCTGATTAGTGGACCGAGTCCAATCCGAAGTTGATAGCCTAGCTCCTATTTCTTTCTTTCTTTCTTTTTGTAGCACTGCCTTGTTATCAATCCGTATCTTATTTGGATGTGCATGACAAGAGAGGATAGAAAGGTATTTGCAATAGAGAAAAAAAAAAAAAAAAAAAAAAAGTCATAGCGTCTGTTCTGTAATCTAAAAAAGCTAATAAACCAGCAATATTACGCGACAAGGGGAACCAATTTCTATTCAATCTCCTTTAATTAAAACAGGTCTAGATGCCATGTCCCAATGTCCCAATGTCCCATGTCTTTTTTTTTTTTTTTTTTTTTTTTATCCTTCCTTCCATCTTCATCGTGGAAAGGACAGTTTATGTAGAGGACACCCCATGTGCCTATATATCTTTTGTTATTATCTTTTAAACATTTGTCTACTGGTTCATATACACGTACCAAAGATAGCCAAATCTGTAATGTGATGAATGCCGGACAAAGAACCATGGTGATGTTTCCAATAGCTCTTTTCGTATCGCCTAGCCCTTCTCCTCCTTCTAGCCTATTCTCTCTCCTATCCCGAGTCAACGTTCCCGTAGCCCATCCATTCCGCCAAGAAAAAAAAAATAATAAGAACGTTGCTCAATTGCTTGTTACTGCTGTACGACGTGCAGAAAAAAAAATAAAGAGCAATTTAAATTTGAAATCCAATGATCCAATGATGTCCATGTCGTGTCATGTTCGCAGTCGTGCTAGGTGAACAGTGCGCCTTTTTTTTTTTTTTTTTTTTTTTTTTTATTACTTGTTATTTGTTTCGACTCCCCCTCTCACTCACTTTTTCACTTTTTCCACTTTTTTCACGAGTGAGTATAGTAATATATTATAGGCATGATTATGTTTTATTTTGCAAAGTTGTTGCTTGACCTTGTGTTATTCTCGGCTGATTGCGCCACCACATTGGGAAAGATGTTGAAAAGGGGGGAGGGAGAGAAAAGGGACAAGAAAGGGGGAACACAGGGAACACAATTGTAATGAGGCTTGTCGGAGACTAGAAACAAAAAAAATACAGTACACACACACAGCACACACATACAGAGAGAGAGAGAGAGAGAGAGAGAATGCGAAGCAATGGCAGAGCTAGGCAAGACAAGACAAAGGCAGCGCAAACAAACAATGCAGTTTTTACACTAGTCTAATGAAGAGAGAATGGGGATGAATAAAAATGTACAAGTACTTGACGAATGACTCTTTCAGAAAATGACATGTCAAGTGGACATGAACATGGACAAAGGATACATGTACGGGAGATAAAGTACTCTTTTGTCGGTACCTCGTCAAGTTTACCTTTTTCCTTCACTACATGTTGTGTGTATTTATAATATATATATATATTTGTTTTATGTCCTTCACTGCTTCATTCTTGTCATTTTCTTTTTCCTTCTCTTTGTCTGTTCTTGTTACCAAAAAAAAAAAAAAAAAAAAAAACAATAAGCCCTGCAGCTCCCCACAATTGATCTGCAAAGAGTAATTTTAATCTCAGCTAACAGACACCTCCAGCTGCGGCCGATGATTGGGTTAGGATCGCGTATTTTTTTTTTTTTTTTTAAAAAAAATCGATGTCTCGACTCGATTCCTTTCTTTGACTTTCTCAGTTCAGTCATTTCAGTCATTTCAGTCGTTCCTAAACCTGTCTCCTTGCAGTTCCGTTTAACTGTTGTTACATATTGTTTGTATCTGTACATTTGTCTGTAAGACTGTAAGTCTATATATTTATATGTCTATGCAGCCTATGAATATATATTTATTTGTTTGTTTATGTTTATGTTTATGTTTCTTTTTTTTTTTTTTTTTTTTTTTTGCCTGTTTGTTTGCTTGTTTGTTTGTTTGTTTGTTTGTTTGTTATGGGTTCCTCAAGAGCTGCTTAGAGAACAGAGGTCGGAATGGAGGGAAGAGGGAGAGGATTAGGGAAAATATATGCACGTCGTTTGAAATGTTCGAACAGGCGTGCAGTAGGTAGCTCTTTCTATTAGTCCGGCACCTTGTTTGATTTAGACAAGCAAGCCAGAAAAAAAAAGAATGTGAGAAAAAAAAAAAAGAATGTGAGAAAAAAAAAAAGTGGGAGAGGAAAGGCAAAGAAAATAGATTGTGTTTTCCTCCACAACATTCGTGAATAATGTATTGGATCATTCGTAACTCTCCAAGGAGAGAAAAGTTGTTTATTTCCCTTCAAGTTCAAAAAACAAAAGAAAAGAAAAACGATCGGCAGACCTACATGCTTATTCGACATGATGGTATTATAAATATATATACATTGTAGGTAGGTTAGTTCCAAAATAGTTGTGCTTATGACGCGACATGTTATGTTGACTACACACAAATAAACCGTAGATACGGGGATAGTATGCAAGCAATATACAAATATCTTTTATTAATATTATTATTATTTTAAAATCCAAAGTAGCTCTTTCGGTCCAGAGTCAGAGAGAAAAGGATAAGAATAGGGAACCTACATGTACAGAGCGGCCATTCAGGATGAGCTTGTATAAATATATATCTCTGTTTTGGTACTCTACCTCTTCTTGCTGGTTGCCGAATCAAAAGAAGAATAAACACTGCGTTGCAAGGAAAATGTTCAAAAAAGCGCAACTAAACAGACAAGCAAGGAAAAAAAAAAAAAAAAAAAAAAAAAAAAGAATAAATAAACAAACCCAGGTCGCATGCATGCATGCCATTAAAATAAATACCTCTTCCATCATCGACAATGACAATGATTCATTTGTTAGTTTTTTTTTTTTTTTTTTTTTTTTTTATTTTTTATTTTTTATTATTATTATTAGAGGATAATAGCAAACAGTCTTGTCTTTTAGTCTTTTAGTCTTTTATGAAAAAAAGAAAAGTCCAAAAAAAATAAAAATAAAAAATAAAAAATAAAAAAAATAAAAACTCGTCTATCAATCGATTCATTCCATACTCCTTCTTCTCCTCCTCCACCTTTACCCACGCGTCAAGCGTCAGTGCCAGTGTCAAAGCCAGTGTCAGTGCGCTCTTTTTCTTTTTTCTTTTATTTTATTTTAATTAGCATTTTATTCTTTTTTGAGTAAGTTTGCTTTTACATTCATCACAGCAAACTAAAATCAAATTATTCTATTACATTTCGCTCCCAATGTAAGACAGAGTGGATTGGCCGATGCGCTTGTGCCCATTCAATTGCACACATGTTTAGATCCTTGAGAGATATGATAACAGATAAACCAGTAACAGATGAAAGTTCAAAAAAAAAAAAAAAAGTAAAAAAAAATAGAGATAGAGATACGGATACGGATACGGATATAGATACAGATACAGATACAGATACAGACACAGATACAGATACAGATACAGATACAGATACAGATACAGAAGAGAGAGAGAGAGAAAGGAACGAAATCAGAGATCATAAATGATGGTTACGATAATAACGTTAATAGTAAATCGCGCAAAGAACTCAGTTTTCTCTCCTTTTTTTTTACCCTCTTATCCTTTCAAAGCAAAGTAAAAAAAGATAAAAATGCATGTCATCGCCACCCCCTCTCTTCGTCAAACCCCTTGCTGCTGCTGCTGCTGCTGCTCTCACAGTGTAAACAAGCAGCAATCAACGACGATCGTATCTTCAATCCTCCCCTCTATCTATCTCTCTCGCTCTCTCTCTCTCTCCTCTCTCCTATTCCTTTTTTTTTTTTTTTTTTTTTTTTTTTTTTTCTCATGACCTCTCATCCGTCGTACCGTCCAAGATGTCATATTACTTGTTGCAGTAAAGGATGATACAGTGTAAAGGTGGTATTTTTTTTTTTCTTGATCGATAGTGGCGATCTTTGTTTTCAAACTAAAAAAGGACTGGCTGATAGGTGAGCTTTGCCATCTTGACCATCGGGCTACCTCCGAGTTTCCGACAAGGAGGAACAGGTAAGAAGGAAAAGGCGGGGGAGATTGAATAATCATGATATAGATACATTCATATATACATATATACAAGATATTATTTA